CAAAAATCGGGTCGGAAATCACTTCTTGAATACAATAATTCGAGCCTATTAGCCTTGGTTTCACGAATTTCGTATTCGGATAATTCTTGAGATTATTCTCTCTCTCAAAGGTTGTGAAATCGAGACATATATACCCAGATTCTAGTTTTACATATTTAAATGAGAGATCGATGGTTATTTCCGGTTTAACGGTTATAATTGTTGACGGATAAGATTGAAGGGAAGTTACAATCGGATCTAAGTTATGGAATATGCATATGAGTGTAGTCACTTAACACACGTTCAATGATGGGCAGGTTCAATATTAGGTGGTAGGTTATTTTTCACACCCTTAGACTTATAAAAGGAACCACAAAGCAAGTATATAATATGGTCCAATGTCGTCTTTTCCAAGTAATAAAGTGGTAAAAGCCGAATATCATTCACAGAGATTGTAACAAAGACTTAATAAGAGTCCAATGAAATAGATGATTTCAGATGATGAAATTGAAGACTTTAGTTTGATTCTGAGTTAACAATGATAAAATAACATAATATAAAGGGGTAGCATAAGTGTAAGACTTGTGGTGAAATGTAAACGTAAATTCCAGCAGACAATGCTGTAGGAATGCTACAACATGCAGTAAGCCATAAGTAGTTCCACCATCTATTTTGAAGGTATTCCTCTCGTATTTCACTATTGTACTATATTATAGCTTTCAACCTATATCTCTATGTAGTATCCGGACTAGGGATAGTGACAAAATGATGTCTTCAAAATATATGTATAAACAAATTTCTTTGTTAAAAAAACTCTTTCGAGTCGATTCCCATATCATTCGTGTTGGCGTGTGTTCTAGATAGTTCATCTCTAAATCTACCATACTTTGATACTTTTAGAGGACGACCAACCTGTCGGGAGTTAATTTGAAAGACATAAATGACAAGTCTCCTTGTCGGTAACTTTTTCAAGTTTACCTCTTATATCATTCAAGTTGACATGCATTCAATGGCTTATCTCTAAGACCATGACATTTTAACACTTTCAAAGTGATCAACTCGTCAAGAAGTGTACTTGGTTTTATAAAAACTTGAATGAAATAGTGGAACACTGTTATTGCGAAACAACGTCCACTTTTCTTCGGTTTAACATTTCACCCTTTGTCTTACACCCAAGCTAATGGAATTAGCTACTCATTACAAAAATTAAATGACAAGAAAAACTAACTTGCATAAACAAAAGAACTACAAATCTGATTCTTCAGTGTTTTTGGGATGATTTAAAAAGAAAAACCAAGGGCCCTATTTATACAAAAAGCTTAAACAATAAGACAAAAACCTTGGAAACTACCATGCTCCTAAAAAGAAGACAAAAGCAAAAAAGGAGTATCACATCATGAGCAAAAACAAAAATAACCTTCAAAATCCCTTCTCCAGCTATAGTGGTCTTTAACCAACAGATCAGCAAAAATTTGTCTTCATTTTAAATCGACAGTTGAATCATTAAGCACTTTCCAAAAGGTCGCCTCATAACAGTTCAATGCTGCTGGAATGCTGCATCATAGAACATTATGCTTTCAAATTAAGATTTTTTCTAATCTAATGGTGCAAAGACAAGTTAATCACTTAATTTAGATCCAAGTATGAATAAATGGAAAATAATGTAATAAAAAATACTAAAGATTGAGATAAAAGAAAACAAACTACTTAATAAGTAAAGAAATGAATGCTTTATGCATTGAATAATCAATGCATATCATTAGGCTCATTAAACGATAAGCTAAAACTGACGTTCAGTGATAACTGAAGACCTTCAGCAACATCGGAAGACAAAATCAGCAACAGCTAAAGCCTAATCAACGACAACCAAATACTCACATTCCACGATGGCTGAGTGAAAGCTGGATAGACACAACTTGGTGAAATTTCTAAGTAACTGAAATTGTTTCTTGGACCACTGCCATGGCACTCTCAGTCCCTTGGAACCCCACTAGGGACGCTACCCTAGGACACTGCAAGGGGGAGCAGCCCTCCTGACCCATGCTTGATGGCGATCTAAGGTGATAGGGGTAACTTTTGTAAGTGTGCACTCCATGCCTCCTAACTTACGTATGTCATCGCCTTATTCGATCTTGAGTAAATTACAATTATACCAAAATGCTTGATAACACTAAAATCACCAACATATACAAAATGTTACTCTAAACAGTTATTATTGTCACCTAGCTAAATGATTATATATGTATAACATGATGGTTTTGATGTATAACATATTAACAATCTTATATATTGAAAAAGATATTGCTAGATAATATTGATTTATAAACTATTATTGATTGAGTTTGCATTTAAGAACATTCTGAAATATTGTTTTATATGAATTATTAACATTTCTTGTATTCAATTTTATTTTAGGTGATAGAAACCGTTTATTAAAGATTTTCTTAAACTTGTCAGAACGTCACTTTTTACATATGCCTCGAGTTCATAAAATATCATGAATGACCCGGTCACTAATTCCATTTAAATATCACATCTGAAAGAAAGAATTACACCCTCTCTCATGGCTAGTTGTAGTGTACTAGCTGCCAAGTAACGGAGACAAGAACGTGGGGGCACGAAGATAAGGTGGTGTTGCACGGAATTAAACATAAACAAAGCTTTAGGAATCTAGACACGAGTGGCTTTCTTTGTTCAAAACTTTAACCTAATCATCAGTTACATTTCATATAATTCAACGACCCATAAGTAGACATGGAGTTTTAATTCCGAAAATTGATGTTATTTTGAATATGATTGAACTTTAAACAAAATGAAACAATTATGGACCCAAGAACCAAACGTGTATGGTGTTTATAGCAAGTCTTTTCAAACAAACATGGCAAGATTGGTGGTTCCAAAATGGAGAAAATTGTGGAATATTTGAGATGGGGTATGGTAGGGTTTGAGGTACCCGTGACTATGGGAGGAGAGGAAGATTAGGGTTCTGCCCTTAATATTCTTTTGCAGCCCACACTTGTTGTTTTCCATTAAAAAGACTATAAAGGACATATTTTCATTCTAGGATGTCTTGCTTTGTCTCAACTTCTTGGTCCTTTTCCAAATATGGTTCTCTATAGAGGGCTTGTTTATAAATATGGGTTTTGAAATTACTATTATTTCATAATGCAGAAATAAATCATGCTACAAGGGTACTAAAGTAATTAAATAATGAATTTTTAGTTTGCATTGTATATCCAAAATTAAGATGGCTGGTTATCAAGAAATAAAACTGCTTCGAGTATCCGGCTTTGTATAACTGTTGCCTGCTTTGCAGTGGAACCATGGCAATTAGGATCTCAAGGCTTCTCAAGCCTACGAGTGCCGATCTTCGTTGTGTTCCGTTTTTTCAGATGCTTTTTTCCGTTAAAGAGAACTACAAGAACGATCTAGAGCCCAGGAAGCTGTAAAGGTACTGGATTTACATTATACAAAACAGAAGCACCTGAAGTGCTAAACGAACATAAAATATTTTTCAGGATAAAACGATACGAGTTTCTATGGTCCAACAATCATTTTTAACCTATAGCGAATGCTTAGATCACGAAAGTCCTTTATTTTCGATGTTAGTGCTAGCTTCCGGTAAGGTTCCAATGAGTGTTGTATGTAATCAAAATATATATGCATATGGTGTATTTGAGTTTGTTACAAATTAATTCCGATTATTTTTGTTCTATAATATATGACACATTCAATCTTGATTTTCTAAATTTTTTAGGGTTACGATAATAAGATTCTGATAAGTAAAAGATAATTGTAAGATACTAGATTTTGAGGATAAATGTAGAAATATCTAATTACTTTGTTATTACAATCAATTATATGATTCCAATTTTTAATTTGAACGTAATAATCACTTTTGTATTGCACATCCGAACTCCCCATATTAATGCAGCTCGATATCGATCTCGTCTTCCGGTTATTGGCTCGTGTGCTATGATGATATAGCATATAAGCAAGTGTATTAAGTTATACTTCAATGCATGATTTATCATGATAACCAATATATACATACATATATATATATATATATATATTATGTTAAACTTACGTCCATGTATATCTTCCAAGAATAATTTATCATCAAGAACACATATATAAACTTGGGTATGATTATGATAGCAATAAATTGGCAAGTAAGGAACTATTATAGATACATGTTATGAGAGAAAGAAGAAATAAAGAAAGGCAAGGCAGGCAAAGCAAAGCAAAGCAAAGCAAAAGAAAAGGAAGCCATTTTACTAGTAGATTGTTTGATCATGATAATAATTGGTTTTATGGGCACTCCCAAGATGTGGGTCACATAAGTTGGCAAGATTATAAGATCCACAAGACTATGGATATCCCCCCACCTACCCATATCATCATCTGAATCACAACCTACAGGATTTGGATGATATGAGCATGACGCCTATGATGATGATGCATTCCATTTTTTCTATATAGTCAATGTACAACCCTTGATGCACCTAGTACTAGTACTATCAACCAAACTGATCTTCATGTCATTAATTCAAATACTTCTGATCATGACCCACATTACATATATGATTATACTACGTATCTAAACAATCTTATATTGGATAACATTAATTCTCACTAATAGGAAAGAGAAATGACGACAATATATGCATAATGTATTATGTATAAGTGAGCTAGCGAGAAGGGATGATATGTAGTCCATCCAATAAATTTCTTGATGGCCCACGTTATCAATTGCACACATTCGAACATTGGATGGTTTATATATTCCCATAAAGAGAACAGCATCGTACAACTCTTGATGCATAGACTACAACTCTTAATACAGAAACTATATATACATGTTCATATATATATATATATATATAGAGAGAGAGAGAGAGAGAGAGAGAGAGAGAGAGATCTACGGATATACAGATAGAAAAGTAGGGTGCCAACAGATCCCGTGGCTTGTTTAGTATCCAACGTTCCGTTTTAACACTGCAACAAGAGAGCCGCCTAAAGCAAACAGCAACCTTCTAACTCAAAACTCATCCCCCCCTCTCTCTCTCTCTCATAGTGGTAGTGATCACAATACTTCTATCTCACGTCAGTACATCTCTCTCTCACTTTCTCTCTCTCTCTCTCTCTCTAACACTGTATATATATAATGCCCACATCCAAAACCTTCCATTACTCCATTTTCCAACCCCACATCATACACAAGTTCAACTCCTTAATCCTATTTTTGTTGATTTTAGAAAGAAACCATCGACTTAATTATCCACTTATCGTTTGTTCTTCGTTTTTGTTAACATGGGTGACAACAACAATGTCAATCTCCCACCTGGTTTTCGATTCTGTCCTACAGACGAAGAACTCGTTGTCCACTTCCTTCAACGCAAGGCCTCTCTCTTACCTTATCACCCTGATATCATCCCTGATCTTGATCTCTACCCTTATGATCCTTGGGACTTGGATGGTACTTTTCGTTTCTCATTTCTGTAATCCTTATTCTACCATGCAGTATATATATATATATATATATATATTGTGTATACGCACGTATGAGGTGTACATACACATAATCAAAAAAGAATTTATATGCATGGTTTTGCTTGGCTTGCAGGTAAAGCCATGGTGGAAGGCAAAAAGTGGTACTATTACAGCAGAAGGACACAAAATCGAATAACAGTGAATGGGTATTGGAAAGCATGGGGTTGTGATGAACAAATTATGAGTTCAAGTAGTAGCAAACGAGTTGGTGTCAAGAAATATTATGTGTTTCATATTGGTGAAGCTCCTGAAGGTGTCAAAACGAATTGGATAATGCAGGAATTTAGGCTTTCTGATGGTGCTGCTTCATCTAGTAGTAGTGGCAGCACTGGTAGATCGAAAAGAAGAAGCCACTCCAAAATAGTAAGTCATCTACATTTTTTGGATAATTAGTGAACGATATTTTACATTTTTTTTAATATTTTAAATACTTTTTAAATGTTTTTAATTAGTAGTGGTAATTAATCAACTTATATTCGAATAATTAAACATTTGTTTAAAATAACGATATTTATTTATTTATTTTTATATTTACATTTTCAAACATTTGAATAATTATGTAGGGATTTAGTAAGTGGTTAATTAATTGATATATATTTGACGATATGTTTCGTTAATTTTTCTTCCTCTTGTTGTTTAAACGTTTTAATTTCGGATTTTCAGGATTTTAGCAAGTGGGTAATATGCCGAGTGGTTGAGCATAGTTGTGACAATGACAACGATGATGATGATGGCGGGACAGAGCTTTCATGTTTAGATGAAGTTTTTTTGTCACTAGACGATTTCGACGATATTAGTTTTCCTAATTAAGGAAACAAAAGATATTAATCAAGGGACCGCAACAAGCTAGAGGACCTAATATATGTTACTTGATGTCAATTTTCCTTCTTGTATTTATCCAGAAAAATACTTCTTTGTATTATCAAGAAATGACTTGTGGTAGTGAGAATATGAAGTTAAAATACAAACTTAATCTCCAATTGTATTTATTTTTAATCATATATATATATATATATGTATATATATATATATATGTATATGAATGCATGTATATATATACTTATTTATAAATTCAACACATTTCCCCATGCAAAGAAACCTATCAAATCCCATAGAAATTGATGGGTTTTGTGGCCACCATTAATTGCTTGTACTTATACTTGATGGTACATGATAATCTTGATAATGCATGTTATATCATCTTGTGTTTAATGAAACTGAATAAATAAAATGTTGAATAATTAAAAACTTTAAATGATTAAAACATGTTGGAACCATTAAAATTCATTATGAATGAACAATAAACAATGTTCATGAAAAGATGTTTGAATGAAAAATTCTGAACCATTCATGTACATGTGGTTTATTTAGAAACAGAAACATGGGCCTCCCATATCAAGTTATAGCTATTTTATTGTTGAATGCAATCACGAAGGATACATTCACATATATATATATATATATATGTGTATATATATAGCAATCACGAAGGATACATACATTCATATATATATATATATATATATATATGAATATTAGTTAAAGGTTGTGTTCATAGAATACGATTATTTGAATCTTCAAAATAGTTTTTAATTAGTTTTTTGGTTTATGTGAACATCTCACGTAGGGGGATCATTAGGAAGCAAAGTGGGGTCTTTAGTTTGGTGTCAATAATTACGTAACATGCACTAATAGACAAAGAGAGTTTTCATTTACTAAAATTTTCAAAGGTCATTTTTCGTCGATGATATATGACTTGTCGGATTATTGATAAACCAAAATTGTGCAAAGATTATCCGAGGACAAGAAAATCCATCAATGATGTAAAACTATAACGATGGAGCATTGATGACAGGTAAAAAACTATAAAATTAAAAAAAGAAAATTGGTAGTGTCCATCGACAATTATAGATTAAACACGGACGGATGATAAATGATAAACTTTTACTTCTTATATTGAATATTTGGATATCCGTCAGTAATTCTTTAGATTGCCAATGTTGTTGTCCGTCTGTAATTAGACATGCTTTGAATTGTATTGACACTCTCCTACCTTCTACAAAGCAAGCATTTTTAGATGTCATGTTACAGGGTATTTTTTGTAATTGTCTTTGAAATAAATTTTAAACTTTAAGTGCATGTTAAGTGGTTTAATAGTGTAATTCAGAGAGGTCGAGCCACAAGGTGCACTGTAAACAACCTTAAAGTCTGAATACAACCAAAGATGGGACAAATTGACATATGTGGACCTACGATATGGGTTGGAACATGTTTTATCGTAGAGTTCGGATGGGATGTCAACATCACTGCACAACACTCGACTCATGCAATGTTTTAGACACATGCCACACCATATTTGACAAGTTTGTTGCCACTACCAAAGAACACAAGTTATCACCGACAGACAAATCCGTCGATGCATCCTGTTACTAACAACATTCAAATGGAAATAATCCATCAGTAAGAGATTTTCAGAAAGTGTACCGACAATTTTGAATAACGTAATATAAAACTTACCGATGGAAAACCCGCCAGCAATATGTCTCAAAAATGATTTTAAACTTACAAAAATGAAATCTTAACTCATACTTTAGTTACAGATCATCTGTCGGCAGTTTACAAACCACCTCTTACTGATGAATTATTATTGACGGATTACATACAATAATGTTAAGTTTGTCGGTATAATTGACTTTAAAAATCCATTGGCGAAACCAACACCATGGTTTTGTAATGTTGTGTAATCCGTTGGTCATTTGTTTTTGTTTTTTTTAATATCTATAACTTTTGTATTCAAAAAATCTAATGTGAAAATTCCCAAATTGCATCCACTAAAATAATTAAATGTAATAAAAGTTATTTAATGTATATAAACTATTAATCTAATGTCGTTATGGGGAAGGGAAGGGTCGGGAGTGGGAGCTGGAAAGTGTTGAAGCATCAGCTATTCTATAACCCTTTATAACCCTGACATTTTCTCGCATTTCTTTTTGCTCAACTTTTTTAGGCTTGCAACTCTTCTGCAAATCTGTTTTGGCTCCTACTTTTCTTTCAACTCTTCTTGTTTTGGTGTGCGTCCTTATTGCCTTGACACAACTCTTCTATTCTTTGAAGATTTTTTTTTCAATTGTTGTACAAATATTAATAGAGATTTGATCTCTAGATTGTTGATCTTGATTGTTTAGTTCATTGTTATCTGACTAAAACTAGGTTTAACATAATCGCACTTGCATTTTGCTTCGGATTCGCTTCTATTTGGGATGGTAGCCTTCCTTATGACTCCAATCTACTCACCAATGTTGCAAGTTGTCATTTGAGTTCCCAAATTCTAAATGCTCGCATTTGTCTTTTGCTGAAACTAGAGGGTATTAGTGGCTAAAGATTTGACGATGTCTTCAAAAGGCATTTTGATTTGGATTAAAGGGACCCCTTTGTTGAAATTTTTGGTGTGGTTGCCATGGTAGAAACTGTAGAAATTGTTGAGGTGTTGTTTGGTTGTGATAATTATTGAAATACCTTCGTTGTTGTGGTGTAACATCCAAATTTTACATTTGCATATAACCACATATTTCATATATCATGAAATAACAAATTTACACATTTGGTTTCAATATATACAAAGGCTACATTACATAAGTAGCTACCAAATGTTTCCATAAATACTCAATACGAGACTTGTATACATAACAAGTATTCATATACAAATAACAACACATCTTCCAAAAGCCACGTATGTAAAGCAATCATGAATCCTTCTATAATTTTTCCTCTCCCTTTTTTTCTGGTTGTGTCTGACCTGTAATGCACATTTTAAAACGCAAAAATGAGGGTTAGACCATGAGGTCTAGTGAGAAATCCTCTTTTGATTGCTATTACATGGTGAAAATCACCAAAACACCTTTATAAACCCATATTTGTATAAATAACAAATAAACAGTGTTTTATTAGGACAAACCTCTTTTGTTGCATCAAAAAGATGCGATAAACCCCACTTATTGCATCAACTAACCAAATAACACATCTATCGCATCACACATAATCTTGTCGCATCATATTGATAAAACCACAATTTTCTTGCATCACAAGGATGAGACAATCTCATTTCCTCGCATTACCCAAATGCGATAACCTATTTCATCGCATCCAACACATGCAATAAATAGCTCTTGTCGCATCAATAAGATGCGATAAACCAACTTGTCGCATCTAAACACCCTTCTCGCATAACAAGGATGGGATAAAATCATCTCATTCCATTATAACCATGCGATAAACCACACTTATGGCATTATAAGCATGCGATAAACACTTTCATGATCAAATTCCCATTTTAACATACAGTTGATTATGTCACCCTTATCTCATAATACACCTCTCCTAATTATGTCACTCTTATCCCATAATGCATCTCTCAAGATTATGTTACCCTTATATCCAAAAATACGTCTCTCCTGATTATGCCATCCTTATCCAAAATACACATCTCCTGATTATGTCACTCTTATTTCAACCAGTTGATATTAACATTACAAAACACAAAATTATGCTAAAATAACATATAAGCAGTTTCAAATCTTCCCACTTATAGAACCATACAGTTCTATTTTTAACACTATCAAATGAAAATTTTAAAATAAAACTCACCTTATATATAATCACAACGAAATGAGGATGATAAATAGCAAATTCAGATTAAGAATCACAAAATCAACTTCTTTGTTCTTCCTTTCGGTTTCTGCTTTCACGGACTCAAAGGACACACAAAGAAGCTTCTTATTTCTCTCTTTTCAAAATCCCAGGGGATAAACCAAATATCTCAAATAATTACTCATATAAAAGATGAGGCGGTGGAGAGTTAAAAAAAATAATTTAAGCATATTATCAAAACAACCCCTCAACTTTCCACCATTATTCAAAAACAACCCCAAACTTAATAACCGATAACCCGTTTATAACATGTGGCTAGACTTGAAAACCCCTTATAGCATTTACATCTTCAACAATCACAAATACATCTTCTTGAAGTTGAGTACATACATCACTTAAATGGCCTACTCCCTTGGATATTCTGGAAGCTTTCACATCCTCTTCACCTACTACAAGTTGCTTGACAAGATTGGTAAGATCAAATATCCTACATCCAATACTAGATGCATTTACCTCATAAGCTCTTTGCGGCTCTGGTTTCATATCACTTAGAACACTGAAGTGTTGAGGATTCTTAGCCATAGTAGTAATCAAGGATCTTACCGATGTGGGAGTCTTATTGAAGGTAACACTGTCACTTGCGATATATACCATCTTCCTCTCCATCGAGAAAAGACCCTGATAAAAATATTGTAAGAGTTACTACTTTGAGCCTCCATGTTGTAGACATTAGTTTAGAGATGTTTGGATCTCTCCCAATACTCATAGAGAGTTTATACAGCTCTTTGATTTATACCACATATATCTCTATTTAGGCTAGTGGATCGAGAGGCAGGAAACAATTTATCAAGGAAAAGACATGCCATCTCATTCCATGTTGCTACCGAATCAGGTGGTAGTGAGTAGAGCCAATCAGTAGTCTAGTTCTTTAAAGTGATCGGATTGCCTTTAACTTTATAAGAACCTCCTAAACCCTGTAGGTTTTCATACTTAAAGAGAAAGCATGCAACTCTTTCAAATGTTTGTTTGGATCCTCATTCTCTAACTCGTGATAATTAGGTAAGAGATGAACGAAGCTAGTTTTCAAAACAAAATTAGCATCACCCGCCAGATACTTATGCATATAGGAACTTGGGCGATATCTTGAGTCACCATTTATTGCAGTGTTCGTTCTTCATCCATGTCTTATGGCCTTTGTTCTTCCTCTTCTTCGTATAATTAAGCTTTGTCCACAGATTTTGGTCTTGATTTCTCCACATCACTCTTGGATTCTGATGGT